CTGCTATTCGTGCTGCAATTAATGAAAATGATCAAGATTATAGACATCGTAACCTTGCAAAGCTAATGTTTATTCACATGCTTGGGTATCCTACTCATTTTGGTCAAATGGAGTGCCTCAAGTTGATTGCTTCTGCTGGATTTCCAGAGAAGAGGATTGGATACCTTGGCTTGATGTTGCTTCTTGATGAAAGACAAGAAGTCCTGATGTTGGTTACAAACTCATTAAAGCAGTATCCTGTTAAATGTAGAATTTTCTCTTTCTTAATATATTCCTTTTTCCTTTTGTCATCCCTGTTAGGGAAGATTAACGTTATTGTGATTAGATTGTACTAAAAGAGTAAAAAGAGAGTGCAAAAAAAAAGAATTGTATTTTACTTTGCATGATCCTTAACTTACATGCAGAGATCTAAATCATTCAAACCAATATATTGTGGGGCTTGCTCTTTGTGCTCTGGGAAATATTTGTTCAGCAGAAATGGCTCGTGACCTTGCACCTGATGTAGAAAGATTACTGCAATTTCGAGATCCAAATATTCGGAAAAAAGTAAGTTTTTGAAAAACATATTTCTTGTCATGTTCTTCCTTCATTGTCCTGTATTTCCTTATCTTTATACAGGATGGGTTATAAGGTTACTTCTGCTATGAGTTCTTTACTGAACTGATTTTTCTATTCATTTTATTCAATTATTTTCTGCTTATCTTTTATTGGTTAAGTATTCTGTCTTATATCTCATTCCCATAAGTTGATGAAACTGTCTTTTTTATGCAGGCAGCATTATGTTCCATACGGATTATAAGGAAAGTCCCAGACCTGGCGGAAAACTTTCTAAATCCTGCTGTTGCATTACTTAAAGAAAAACATCATGGAGTTCTAATAACTGGAATTGAACTTTGTACAGACCTATGTAAAGTCAGTTCGGAAGCCCTTGATTATTTTAGAAAGGTAAATTGATTATGACCTAGTAAGTGTGTGTCTGTTACATGAATTTTTGTGCTTTACTTCTTATCCATGTTGAGATGCTAATGTGTATAAAACAGTTATGGGATCACTTTCTGGTATTTGGTTTTAGATTTAATCTATTAGCATACAAGTCTGTTTTATATATTCCATGTTCTTTCTGGATCATGATTGCTGGATCACAATTTTACTTAATTCTTCCATTTGGATGCCTTATGACTTATTAACTTGTTTAGCAGTCACAGAACGATTATGGTTTTTTTTTTTTTTTTTTTTAAATATATGTTGTACAGAGTTATTGTCACG